TAAATAATATTGTAAATAACTAATTTCACTTAAATCAATTAATAATTATAGAAAATAACTATCAACAAAATTATATTTATTAGTAATAATTTTACAATAATAGTGTATATTCATTATATATTTATATTTACTATAATTAATATTTATTTTATTTTCAGTATTATTTATTGTTTTTTTTATAAATATACTTTCAGTAATTATTTATAAATATATTTGTATTTTTGTTATTTAATATACAATTATCAATAACTATTGGAGATTAAACAACTATTATTTAACTATTGAGATTTCATTTGTCGTATTTATTGTATTTTTGTTATAAATTTATTTTTAGTAATTATATATTTTTTATAATTTATAGATTAATACTTATTAGAGATTAAACTATTATTTAAGATTACACTATTTATTGGCTAATTTAGTATATTTTCATTATTTATTATATTTTTGTAATTATTGTATTTTTATTATATATCTATTATATTTTCATTAAAAACTTATTTTCAATGATCGTGTATGTTTGCTATAAACTTTCAATAATTATTGGAGATTAAACTATTGTTATTTATTAGAGATTAGACTATAAATTTAGTTGAAATTAGGAGTGTTCAATGATTGGTTCAGTTCAGTTGCATGTTGTTTCGCTAACCAAATCGATCTGGTCAAGTTCGCAGTTTGTCACTCGAAGCTGATTGACCATTAGCGAAAACCCACCAACTCGGGTTGTATCGATTTGGGTCTATTTTCGGTTTAGTTTGTTTGTTCAAAAGATTTAAACTTAAAAAAAATAACTTTAAATTTCATAAATTACAATGATATTATTAAAAAATAAATTACAAAAATTAAATCTATGAAATAAAATATTTTAGACTAACAAATATGGGAATTTTCCTACTTTCCCGTTTAAAAAAATAAATTTAAATATAAAATATTAATATATATTTATTAAACCAAAGCCGATCTGAAATACTAGAAAACCGATCAACTCGGGCTGAGTTTGATCGGATTGTTAAAAAAGTTCAAATATAAAACAATTATATACTCTTATGTATTTCTATTGTTTAACTTTCGCTTAACAAAGCACGAGTCCCCGTCACCATGCCTCTCCTTGCTCCATTATTCCCACCCTACATTCTCTTTGACTTTCTCTCCTCTCCCCTTCCCACCGTTCCCATTAAGCCATGTCACCCAACTACCTAAAAATATTCCTATAATCTCTCTCCTAAGGTATGTCATTTAAACCAATAGGAAAGTAATAGAGGAGGCACGGCTCAGGACGCCTCATAGGCCAGCACAACACAACTCGCACTTTGTGCAGGCCACATGTGGGTCGTGTCGTGCCGATCCAATTTACACCTCTACTTGAACCCGCCCAATACTGGGGACGGGGCAGGGAAATTCGAGGATTCTCCATCCTTGAGGAGTGGGGTGCCTTGCCCCCGAACTTGCCCGACATTGAGTGGTTACCTTGCCTTGAACCCGCGTGACATTGGGGACGGGGTGGGATGGGGTAGAGTGTCTTGACAATGGGGCAGGGAAAGGAATGGGGTGCCCTGTCCTGAATCCACTCCATTGTCATTCCTATATAATTGTTAATTATTAGTGGAATTAATAAAAATGTTAGCTTTTATAATTATTTTTATTTATTTTAAAATTAATCAAAATTTCATTTAAAAATAATAAAAAGAATAAAAATTATTAAAATTACTACAAATTATTAATAAAACTAAGTTTATTAAGAAATATTTGTTCATATTCAATTAACAATAATTATTTTTTACAAATCAACATTAAATAAAAAATAAATTATTAAATCTTTTAGATTTTCCCGTGCATCGCACGGGTCCCTGCTAGTAAATTGTCATAAAGCTAGAATTTAGCCCTCTAAGCCATTCCTCTAAATTTTCATCTATCCTCTGACACAAAAAGCTTTATAGGTCAAATTGCACGTCTTAGATACTCAAGAAATTGTCGTAAAGCTAGAATTCAGCCCTCTAATCCATTCCTCTAAATTTTCATCTATCCTTATCAATTTGATATAAGAGCAGGTCCTGATAAATTCTGTACCATTATAACTACAATAAAGGATATCTATACTTATAAAGAGGATAAGGCAGCCTGTGTTTAGAGGATCTTTTCCTTTCTAAATGGGCTTTTGAATAAGTGCTTGTTAAATAAGCACATTTTGAGCATTTATTGAGAAGAATGTTGACACACCAATAGAGTTGAATGCAGTTACTTGAAAGAGGGTTCTATTTATAGCCTAACTTTATGCTATATTATCAACAACATTTTTGGAAGTCTCATATATTCAACCATGGCCCATTCAAATATTGCATATGAAATTTAGGTTGTGAGGTATTTTGTATCTCCAGAGTATTCATTCTACAACTATACATAGGATAATAAGGTACTAGTGTGATTCTATATTGAGAGGGTTATTTTTCACTAATTCACTCATCTTCAACTTTTCAGTTTAGAGACTATGAAGAAGTAGGTTTAGCAGGTTGTCCTAATACTTGTCCCTCCACTACAGGCTGGTGCATATTTCTTGGTAACTCATTGATTTCATAGAAATGCAAGAAGGAACTCATAATTTTTAAGTCATCATCAGAATCTGAACCTAAGATCATGTCCTTAGCCTGTAGTGAAATAGTTTGGCTTTGGGGGTATTTTCTGAACTTAATATTCCTTGTACATCCTCCATTATATGCTGATAACAAATACCGTTTCGTTGCTCTTAACCATATCTTCCATGAGATACAAAGAACTGATCAGATAAGTTCCTAAGACAGCATTTTTATTCCCACCTGGAAAGCAGTGCTACTAAAGTGGATGAGAGACTCTGGTGATGTAAGACCCACATTTCTATGCATCCAGGGAGTGCTTGAGAAACTGTAAGATCAAAGGAGCATCATGTTAGTGAAATGATCATACCATAGGGTTTTGAGATAAACTAAGAATTGCAAATTATTTCCTATTAAGAATGATTTATTTTCTTAGTAGGTGGTCACCTTGTGGTAGTTCTTTGTTTCATTGTATAGGTGGAACATCAAACTCATTTCTTTTTATCTATACTACCACTTGCAAAAATAACATATCTAATACATCAAGATAAAGCTAAAGAAAGAATGTGACTGAGAAAACAATTAGGACTCACCTCAAGGTCAACTTGATAGGAGATAAATCAAATACTTCAACATATATTTTCTCCTTTCTTCTTGCTAGGAGGTAAATTTGCTGCCATGGGGCTCCGATTGGACCAACCGAAGGTAATGCTGGACTGCTTTCCCTATTTCCAAAAAGATTATTCACAGAAAGGGGTTCACGTCCTACAATAAGAAAGCCAATCATGAATTTGTGAAGATTGTTACATTACAGGAGCATATTTTATATACAAGCAGATGCAGCATAAAACCGGGATATTTGAAGGTTCTGATCTGTAATCTTGAAATTACAGTCCTGGCAAAGTCAAACAAGCTTAAGATCACTTCTTCCTCAAGATCAAGCCGCAAAGCTGCTAATCTGCACACATGTAATAAGACTACTGTATCATTTATGTACTAACAAAATTGATACTGATATCAATTATTAATGAAAATGAGATAACCTTAGAGTTATGTATTCGAAGGAAACAAGTGAAATATCCTTATTCCTCCATTTTGCTGCAGCTAGAAATAACATAGGTCCACATGGACTCTCAGAAATAGTGTGCATCACATTTGCATTTTTGATCTTTGAACTATCATCTTTACTTTTCAGCTGGTCTGATGAATTTCCTCTGTATACATGATCCATTGACAGGATAACAGGATAGGGGGTATTGTGCAATTGGTTATCAATTTGCAAAGAAGAAATTTGAAAAGAAAACTTTTGCTGATGCACATTTTGGAGAACTTCTATCTTGGTGTCCTTAGCGGATGCAAAAAGCAATTCCTGTAAAGAAGAAACATTTAGTTGCCAATATGGAAAAATGATTGGTAAAGAAAACAGAATTTCTATTATCTATACCTGTGGGTAAGAGTTAATCAGAGAAATCCCAATAAATGACAAGTGAACCACAATCCTCTCTCTGTAATCAGAGGATGCTGGCCCCTCCTGATCAGGATTTCTTTTGTTTTTGAAGCCAGGAAATTGAGTTTCCTTCATATCTTTCAAAAAATGAAGACTTGAATCGATGACACTGAGTACCTGTTAACAAGAAAAGTATTAACATTCTTATATTAACAAACTAATATCAAAAGCTTCTAGTCAACCAACCAAGAAATAATATTGGAAATGCACCTTAACCGCTCCTTCAGCATGGATAGAGAGAAAAAATCTTCTTTCAGTCTTCTGAAGACACAAATGTGTGTAAGTTGTAAGAATAAATCACACTCATGAAAGGGAAATTGATTAGCGATCAGGGCAGATAAATAACTAACACAAGGGTCTTGCAGTACAATTGAATGATATAAAAACTTCCATATACAGTAACACTCATTAGAGACACAACTGTATGTTCCATTTGTGTTGCAAAATACATTTTTTTTTCTGGTATTAAGATAAGAAAAACACAAATGTAAAAGGAACAGATATTGGTTCAACAACCACAAGTTTGCACAATTATATTGCTCTACCAAATGATTAGGCAAGATATAGTGGAATGTTTTGATATCATTTCATAAAAAGAACATTGATTCTTTCTAACCAAGACAGAAGAAAAACAGTCTTTTGAAAAGAAAGGACTGTTTAAAAAGTTGAAGAAAATCAAAAGAAAGTAGCAGAAATCAGGTTTCAAGAAGAGAGAAGAAGAAGGTGGCGGCAACTAAGGTTTAGAGAGAGAATTTTGAACATAACCTTGTCTCTTACACCCCTAATTCCATTTCATTAAGTTAAACTTTAATAATTTACAGAGAGGCCCCTAGTTGGCAGAAAAATAAAAACATAACACACGAAAGAATAAAGCCTAGAATAAGGCTCATTACAGCAATCAGCTAACTGTCCTTCAGAAGTGATGAAAGGTAGACACACTTCACCAGAAGCCACTCTTTCTCGAATGAAGTGTCTGTCAACTTCAATATGTTTAGTCCTGTCATGTTGCACTGGATTGTGAGCAGTGTTGATGGCAGCCTGATTATCACAGTATAACATCATTGGCTTATCATGCTCAATACCCAGTTCCTCTATCAAGGATCTAAGCCACAATAGTTCAGAAACTCTATGAGCCATGGCTCTGTATTCAGCTTCGGCTGAAGATCGGGCAACAACTGTTTGTTTCTTGCTTCTCCAAGAGACAATATTACTTGCCACCAAGCTACAGTACCCATAGGTAGATCTTCTATCATCAATGTTTCCGGCCCAATCAGCATCTGTGTAGGCTTCAAGTTTCATATGGCCATGCTTAGCAAATAGAATTCCCTTTCCAGGGGAACCCTTCAAATAACACAGAATCTGCTCTGCTGCTGCCATGTATCCTAGGGAGCATGCATGAACTGACTAATGCAACTGACAACATATGCAATGTCTGGCCGAGTCATGCATAGATAGAGAGGTTTTCCTAATAGTCTTTGGAAGACTCCCTTATCTTTCAACAATATTCCATCTGAAGCAGAGAGTTTATGACTCATATCAATAGGAGTAGCAACTGGTTTAGCACCCATCTTCCCTGTTTCAGAGAGCAAATCAAGTACATACTTTCTTTGAGAGATAAGTATCCCATCCTTGGATCTAGCAATTTCTATGCCAAGAAAGTATCTCAATTCCCCCAGATCTTTGATCTCAAACTCTGTATGAAGGAAAGATTTGAGATCATTAATCCCTGATACATCATTACCAGTCACGACAATATCATCAACATACACAATCAAGTAAACGGCCAAGGATCCTCTCCTCTTCATAAAGAGGGTATGATCAAACTGTGTTTGTACATAGCCAAAGATAACAAGGGCAGCCCTAAACCTTTCAAACCATGCTCTAGGGGATTGTTTAAGTCCATAAAGAGATTTTTTCAGCTTGCAGACTTTCCCTTTCATATTTGTTTCATACATCCCTGGAGGAAGAGACATATAGATCTCCTCATGTAACTCTCCATTCAGAAATGCATTCTTTACATCCAACTAATAAAGTGGCCAGTCTGAGTGTGCAACCAAAGATAGCAAAACTCTCACAGATGTCATCTTGGCAATAGGAGCAAAGGTCTCCAGATAATCAATCCCTTATGTCTTGTGTATAACCTTTTGCAACCAGCCTAGCCTTGTACCTTTCAATGGTGCCATCAACATGATATTTGATAGTTAAAACCCACTTACAGCCTATTAGATCCTTCCCTTCAGGCAAATCAACCACCTCCCAAGTGTCATTCTTGTGCAGGGCATCAATTTCTGTTCTCATAGCATCCTTCCATTCTGGAATACTAAGAGCTTTTGACACAGGTCTGGGAATTGGGTTAGAAGCAACAAAAGAAAGGTAGGCAAAATATGAAGGAGAGAGCAAACTATAAGAAAGGTGTTTGGAAATGCAATGTGCAATACACTTCATTTTTCCTTTCCTAATAGCAATATGGATATCAAGGTCTGGGAAGGATGACTCCAAAGGGGCTGAATCAGTACTTGTTGTCTCTTCTGTGATTGGAAGTGCAGGAGGCTCATGTTTTGTAGGGGAAACAATCTGCTTATTTCTGGTTCTCTGCCGTTGGTACAACCTGGGATTAAAAAGAGGACGAGGAGGTAAAGGAGGAAGGATAGGAACACTGGAATGAGAATGAAATGACTGATCCTCACTTGACTCATTTGAAGGAGGAAGAGTCTCAGCAGAAGACTCAATTGGGACAGGAAGGGGAAGAGCAAACAACTGTGACAAATTCTCCCCCTTTGGACAATGCCTTTCCTGAGAAGAATCATAAAAGGGAGAGAACTCATCAAAGGTGACATCCATTGAGACATACTGAGTGCCAGTCTTCGGATCAAAACAACAGTAACCCTTTTGTGTGGGGGAATAACGAAGGAAGATACACTTATGAGCTTTTGGTTTAAATTTATGTCTCTGGACACTTGGGATATGTACATAACAAGTGCAGCCAAAGATACGAAGAGGAATAAGAAAAAGATCATTGCTCGGATGAAGAGGACTGAAGGGAGACTTAAACCCCCAAACCCTGGACGACATAGGGTTGATTAGGTAGGTTGCAGTGAGAATAACATCACCCCAAAATTTTGTAAGGACATGTGAGGCAAAGAGAATACTTCTTGCAACTTCAACAATATGCCGATTTTTTCTTTCAGCAGCTCCATTCTGTTCTGGGGTCTAACACAGGAGCTTTGGTGAATAATCCCCAAATCAGTGAGATAACAAGTCAGTTTTTTCTCAAAATATTCTTTTGCATTGTCGGATATGAAAATTTTAATTCTGGTATCAAATTGGGTTAGGACAAATTCATGGAATTGCCTCACAAGTCTGGGAACTTCATCAYGGGACTTCATMAAAAATATCCAAGTRAACYGAGRAAAGCCATCAATGAACAAGATAAAATATTTGTAGCCACCCATAGTAGGTAAGTGGTAAGGCCCCCACACATCAGAGTGCACAATATGAAATGGAGAAGATCTTTTATTAGTCAGAGGATAATTGCTTCTACAATGTTTTGACGATTCACACGACTCACAATGAAGACTGGACAAACTAATTCCCTTAAACAGTTCTGGGAATAAATGACTTAATGCAGAAAAGGAAAGATGACCCAAATGAAAATGACATAACATGACTCGACTGATGGACTCTGTAGACGTAGACCCAAAAGCAGCTTTTCCAGGTTGTTCATGTCTCTGTCCAGGAGTGTCCAGTAGATATATTCTATTCGCCTTATGGCCACTACCAATCACTTTCTGAGACTCCAGATCCTAAAAAATACAGTAGGAAGGAAAGAAGGTTACACAACAGTTCAATGACTTAGTTAGGCTACTTAAAGATAACAAATTTGTATTTAGCTTGGGTACATGAAGAGCGGAAGGAAGTACCAAGGAATCTGTAGCCTTGATGGTTCCCTTACTGGAGATAGGGGCAAGAGAGCCATCGACTAGGGTGATTTTGTCACGGCCAGGAAGTAAATCATAAGAAATAAACAAAGTGGAAAGGCTGGTCATATGATTAGAAGCACCAGAATCAATAATGCAAGGACTCCTACGATTACCTGAAACAGTTGCATGATTGGCAGAAACCCGTATGCCTGAATGAGCAAATGTAGAAGAGGTTGAATTTCCTGGAGGGTTGGAAGAAGAGGCCACACCCTCTAGGTGACTGATCATCCTCCCGAACTTCTCATATTTTGCCTTCATAGATGCTAACTGCTCACTAGCAATTATCTCTTCAGTTTGGTATCTGTCACTATCTAGACCAGCAACAATATTGGCACTCCTTGCCTTCATATTATCAGACTTCTTTTGAAACCGAAGAGGAAGAAATTCAGGATGCAATTTCCAACACTTGCCTTTAGTTTGTTTTGGCTTCTTACAGTACTCACAAATAATTTCTTTCTTCTTTGAGCTACTTGGAGTCCCTGCAACTCCTTTGGGTTTCACTCCCATATTAGCAAAGTGATCATTTAGACCAACCCCTTGGACCTGGACAAGTCTCCTGCTTTCTTCACTACTTACCAAGGCATAGGCTTGAGACAGTGAAACACTATCCTTGGATAAAATGTTTTGCTTTGTGATGTCATACTCTGGATTCAGCCTTGTCAGAAACTCAAACACCTTGTTTCTCTTAACAAGTTTCCTGTAGGTCTCAGCATCACTAGTGGTGTCCCAGGCTACAACTTCTATCAAATCAATTTCTTGCCATAAAGACTTTAGTATTGAGAAATACACAGCTAACGGTAACTCCCCCTATCTCAAATTCTTCACATCACTTCTTAGCTTGTAAACCTTGGCCACATTTAATTTCTGGGAATAGGTTTCAGAAACACTATCCCAAATTTCCTCTGCTGAGTTCATCCACAAATAGTGCTGACTAATTTGCGGTTGCATTGAGTTCACAAGCCATCCAATAACAGTATAATTTTCTTGCATCCATTTTTCATATGATGGATCATCTTCTGAAGGAGCCTTCTTGCTCCTGGAGATAAAACCCCATTTGCCTCTACTGCAGATATGAATTTTTACTGATTATGACCAAGCCAGATAATTAGTTCCATCTAGCTTGACTATGGTCACAGCCAGTAGAGAGTTTACAGAGGTTCTCGGAACCTGTTCGGATTCAGCAACATGCTTGTTATCAACTCCTGAAGGGTTCATCTTCTAACAACTTCGAATAATAACAAATGAAGATAGAACAAAAACTATGTTGTGAGCCAACCTCTATGCAGTCGTACCAGCTACCTGTGTCACACCCAAAATCTGGGAGAAACAGAGAAATCTCAGCCGCTCCTTGTAGACTTCACAGAACACCAATCCTCTTGATTCGATCTTCAAGATGAAGGATGAGAAGACTTTCAGTCACTGATTGCCCAGGTCAAACTCCTTGTGGGGCCTGCAATCAGATTTCTCCAAAAAATTAAGGTTTCGAGAAACACACTTGAATCTGTTAGGAGGACGACAAAACCAGTCCCCTTCTCTCTAGAAACCACTAACAACTAGGCTGAAATAGGTTTCTTTAACTATTCATACAATTCAGTTCTCCATACACACCGTGTATGGGAAAAAAGAGGTGACAAGAGGAAAAAGTCGAGCCTGCTCTAATACCAAGAAGAAAAACAGCCTTTTGAAAAGAAAGGATTGTTTAATAAGTTGCAGAAAATCAAAAGAAAGTAGCAGAAATCAGGTTTCAAGAGGAGAGAAGAAGAAGAAGAAGGTGGCGGCAACTAGGGTTCAGAGAGAGAGATTTTCGAACATAACCTTCTCTCTTACACCCCTAATTCCATTTCATTAAGTTAAACTTTAATAATTTACAGAGAGGCCCTTAGTTGGGCAGAAAAATAAAAACATAACATAAGAAAGAATAAAGCCCAGATTAAGGCCTATTATAGCAAAGAACATAAAAAATAAAGAAGGATAAACAGCCTATGGGCCATTCGGTCCATCTTCTATACAAAGACTTTCATGGAGAATATGGTTTTCCTAGAGAATGTGATGAGTAAAATGAGATTTGGGGGGAGAAGGATATGGTGGGAAGAAGTATGCATTTCTTTGGTTCTTCCTATATTCCTGTTAATGGATCTTCCTTCATTTTTTTTTTCTTTTTAGATTTTGAGACTGATTAGAGAAGGGGATTCTGTTATGTTTTATTCATTTTGAGGGGAGAAGTACGCATTTCTTTGCTTCTTCCTAT